CGGCCTACGATGGTCCATTTAAGGTGATTAAAAGAGACGACAAAACTATTACGGTAGAAAAAGCTGGAAAAACGGATGTAATTAGCATCGACCGAGTCAAACCAGCTTTCATCGAAGCCTGCGATCAGCCAGTACATACAGATACTGCGAAAACCGTTGAATCAACGAAACGTCAGTTCCAATCATCAACGACATCGACGAACACAAACAAAGAGAATCCAGTAACCACAAAGTCTGGTCGAAGAGTAAGATGGCCCCAACGTTATGTCGCTGCAATCTTCTATTAATAATCTTCTACTATTTTAAATATTAATTATAACTTCCACTTCATTGTATACATATGCATTACTAATTTCATGTTATACGCCATAAAACTCTTATGTACCCCTACACTTACACGTATAATTTTTATTTAAAATGTAAAGCAATACCGCATTCCTTCTATTTATTGCTATTATTTTTTATAACCTCACGGACAGGCGCAAACCAAATGTACAGCACACACCAACTTCATCTTAATTTTGTACAAACCATTTTTTTCAAACGATTGTAACTACCCTACTCAGTTTACTATTTTTTGTGCAAACACAGACATTTTTCCATATATCTTTGTTTGCAGGGGGGAGCTATTATAGCGACTCACGTGCAATTGAGTTTAGTTCAGTCAAGGCCTTTTGTTGACCTATTTAATGGACAAAGTCATCCATGATATAACAACTTGTTGTACTATCTTTATTATTATGCTTGTATGAAATACATATGCTTGAACATTGTTTAGCGCCTACGCATGTATTCATTCTTCTAGCTTCATTATTAACTGCTTAATCTATTCGCTGACTCATCCATTTTCCTATACATATATATATGTGTACATTTGCACCCATTCACTACAACAACTACTACAACTACTTGCTACTACTACAATCGTAGTTCGCTTGCTCATTCATTTTGCCTCTCTGCTGTCTGGTCCGAATTATCTACTAAATAAACTGTAGTAGCTGCTTCTTTTTGCCTTCTGATTTCAAACATCGTTGAAGATTATACGATAACGGTTCGAGGGTGATTAATTATCGAAGCACAGCCACTACAGTAGCTTACGAGTGTCTTCTAATCTTAATGGCCATGTTTCGCTACCGTAAATTAAGACAGAACGGACTGCCGCATAGTATGCTCGTCCTTTTATTGATAGACGGATATCTCGCCTTCGCCATAGGTGACGTAATCTGGCAAAAGCCGAGTGAGCTTTTCGAATCCGTGCTGAGATTTCGTCAGACACCAACCCATCAGGGCTGATCAGACTTCCAAGATAAGTGAAGTTGTCAACTCGTTCGACTACTTCACTCCCTATCCTTAGTTCAGGTGTTGACGCAGACCAGTCCTGAAGCAACAACTTGCATTTAGAGGGAGAGAAGCGCATCACAAACATTCTGGCATTGTTGCTTAGTGCGATCAAAAGACTCTGCATTTAGTCAGCGTCTTCACCAAACAGGACTATGTCATCTGCGTATTCTAAGTCGATAAGTGGACCTCCTGGAAGGATATCAGTACACGAGAATTCAGTCGACGAGAGTGTTATTTCCATTAGTAGGTCTATGATGAAGTTAAACAGAAATAGAGAAAGTGGACAGCCTTGACGGACACCACTTGAGGTTGCAAAAGCAGATGACAGTTCGCCATAAGCTCTGACTCGACTGGTAGTGTTCGAGTAAAAAGCCCTCACAAGGTTTATGTACTTCTGGGGTACGCTTTTTAATGACAGACACTGCTACAGAATCTCGCGGTCTACCGAGTCAAATGCTGCTTTTAAGTCAAGAAAGACCACCATTGTCGGACGCCAATAAGTATGCCTATGTTCTAGAACCTGACGAATAGTGAATATGTGGTCGATATAGCCACGACCAGGTCTGAAGCCAGCTTGATTCTCTTGTGTTTGCAGCTCACGAGTCCTAGTTAAGCGTCTGGTAATTATCGAGGCTAGTGTTTTAGATGCTATGTTAGTCAAACTAATCCCTCTATGGTTATCACAGGATGATTTTGACCCTTTCTTATGTATTGGGACAATAAGTGGTTGGAATCAGTCAGATGGAATGTTATATAGATCGCAGATTTTAGCTAGAATATTAGTCAATTTAGTCGCCAAAACTGAACCACCATCCCTAAAGGCCTCTGGAGCCAATCCATCTGGACCAGCTGCTCTTCCTCGTTTCAAGTTAGCTATAGCCTAAACATTCATCAATGTAGAGTAGGAAGAGCAGGAAACTTCAGGCAATACTTCGTAGCACGTCACACTTTACAGGGCTTCATTCGGTTTGGGTTTCGTATTTATTTCACTCCGTATTAGGTCTCAGAAGAGATATCTCATCCAACCCCTTGTTATTTCGAATCTGAAAAGCTCCTGCACAAATCATGAGTTACAACCTATCGATGTGCAATGCTAACCGGTGTTGGCGATCATTGGGAGAAAGTCAGGGGTGGCCAAACCAAAACGTGGCATCAGTGCTTGAAGACACTAACATCTGGTCTCAGTCATGTTGGTAAATGCAGACTATTTGATTGTGGTCCGTGTGACTATCGTAAGCAATGGTTGGAGACCCTGGGTGACATGGCTCGGAATCGATCACAATGGCGTAGGTGTATACACTTTGTTTTCCCGTACGTACTATATCTTTCTTCCTGTATTATATCCTTACATGCAATCTTTCTTTTATATATTACCACCATTGACTTAACTACTCCTATGAATTTGGTGTTCATCTTGTGCTAATGACGTGTGGCAACTTGGACCGATGCATATATGTGCCTAGTCCTACATTGTAGCTGACTAACTGACTGACAACCTATCGAATACCCTGCTGCAATTTACGAACATTGATAGAAAATCCAATTTCTTGGGTCACTGGCTTGTTCTCGTCCTGCGATTCGGTTATATTCGGACAGGACCTCTTACGAAACTCATGTTACTGTAGATTCAACAGACTTCAAGACTCTGTGACCATGCAACTCATCAATACGTGTTTTTACCACTATGCTGGTCAGATCAACACGTTGGTAGTTAGATCAGTCAGTCAGTCAGTCAGCAACAACGTAGAACGTACGTGCGTACATCAGTTCGAGTTGCCATACCACATTAGCACAGAGATAAATAGGTGTCGCTTCTATTCCCACAGCTCTTTGCATATCTTTCCAAGCAACATCTGGGTCAGCCTCGTTTTCAGAACTACCTGATTGTGACCTCAGTTTTTCCTGGAACCTACTTTGGGTTTTCTCGCTACTCAATTCAGTTCTAATGGGTCTTTTTAGTGTTGCTTTTTTGCGTACAGTGAGGCGCAAGCAGATGCGTGCTCGTATTAAAGCATGGTCGGAGTCCAAGCAGGTATTTCAGAATGAGCAACAATCTTCCATCGACCCTCTCCAACTATGACTGATGGCAATATGGTCTATTTGAGTCCATCGTTGGTTTGGTACAGGGGGTCGTCATGTTAGACGATGTATCTCCTTATTCTTAAAATTTGTGTTTGCTAGAAATAAATGATTGTCTGAGCATAGTTGCAGCAAACGATCACCATTATCTGTTCGCTGAGCCGGGATACTAAAATACCTACTTAAATGTCTTTCTGTTTGGTTTAAGCTACCTACGTGGGCATTAAAGTCATCTGCTACGAGTATTATGTCTGAGCGTTTAGCTCTTTGAATAAGTTCAGAAAGCTTTCTGTAAAAGTTATCTTTCACTTCATCCAGGCCGCAGTCAGTGAGGGCGTAGGTAGAAACAAAGAAAAGGCAACGACGTGTATCTCTATCCTTCCGAGTTCTTACGGAGCCGTTTAGTCGAACAGCACATAGGCGACTATTAACGGGGATCTACTCTAATAGTGCTTGTTCCGTCCTCGTATTTAGTGTTATGCCTACACCTGCCAGTCCACGAGAACTGGCCATTGGGTCGCCATATGCACGGAAGGTGTATCTCGTCGGCTCTCCGTTTTGGCAAGGTGAGGTCAAGTGAATGACTACACTAGTATCCTGTATGCGTGTTTCGGAAACAAAACATATATCAATAGTACGAGATTCAAGGGTTTTAGCCAGGGAGCCCTGCTGGCCGATTTGACCTGGGCTGTGTACGTTGAAGGCTGCAATGTGTAGTTTGGAGCGAGATTTCAGTAGACCTGGGACAATGTTTTGCGCACTAGAATCGTTGGCTATGGTGACACTTCAGGAGGAAGCCGAAAGAGGAAGTTTAGTGTTGAAAGTCGGTGTAGGAGGGATAATAGGAATTGAAGAGGTTGATTATTAATACAGTGGTCTTGAGTGCTGTTAGATGGATGAGTTTGAGTTGCCATACATAAGAGATGCAGTTGTCGATTAAAATCTTATAGTGGTAGAGGTAAGCGTATAAGCAGTAATCGGAAACACTAGGGTTTAAAGATGTTATTTAAGGAGTATAATCCAGTGAAATAAATTTGGAAAGAGAAAAAAGGACGTGAAGAATTTAGATTAGAATTTGGGAGAACACAAAGAGTGGATGCACCTGAGTCACTGCAAACAATTTTGAGTCATTTCATTCAGGGTCTCTAACCATTGGTTGCTATCATCTCGCAGACCCCAACCAAGTAGTCTACACCTACTAACACGGCTCAGTCTACTTGTCAGTGACTTCATAGATTTGTGCCAGACCAAAACATGGCTTTTTACGTACAAAACGTTTGATGGAACCATCGTCTCTCCTACTGATCAGTATGTCTAGAAAAGGAGGCCGGTTATTCTTCTCTTCTTCGCATGTAAGAGAAATATGCCTTTGACTTGTGTTGAGTTCTTTTAACAAGAGGTTCACATCTTCAAGTTTATCACCTATGATTATGATGTCATCCACGTACTGCTTATACAGGCATATCTTCTGAATTGAGTCTTCAGCTAGGTTTTCCACATATTCCATAAACACATCAGCCAACAACAGTCCAAAACAGCTATGCATAGCTACGCCATCAATCAAGTGCTCACCATCAATAGTGAATTTTATGTTGTCAGTACATAATAATAATGTGTTTAAGAGTTTTAACAGAAAATGGCAACGGTTTAATTAATGATATAATCACATAAAATATTAAGTCTTTCTAAGAGGTGAATTTGTAAATAAAGTTTTTACATCATAGGGACACTGTCATAGACTTTTTATATTCATATTCATTAGGTACTTAAATAATCCAACTAATTCATTCAAATAATACTTACAAAATTGGTTTCGGATTGGGTTTAATACTTTTGACAGCCATTTTGCCAGATTGTGTGTAGGTGACCAACAAATTGATATATTTGGACGTAAAGGGGTGTCGGGTTTATGGGATTTTAGTAATCTCTATAAATTAAGATACACCGAACCCATATGTTTTAATTAATCAAACTCCTCTTTGTTGATAGCATTCGTGTTTAACAATTTGATTACATTTGAGTTTACTTCCCTTTTTAATTTACATAATCCATCAGCGTCAACATCAGTCATAAATTTGCTTTTATCACTGGAAATGGATTTCATTTTATTTTTGTAATAGGACTTATTCATAATAATGACATCTGATCCTTTATCATGTTCAACTATAATAATATCAGCATTATTTAACAACTATTTTAATGACTTGTGCTCCGAAGTTAACATGCTTCTGTGCTTTGGTCCAAGAGAATGAAACTAGTGTGCTATATCCACTAGTTTAGCTTTAAACCAACTTTTATTCTCTAAGGATGAAGCGGGTAAAGTACTCAATTGATCATAGAGGTTTTCTAAAGGTATAATGATTGTCACTCCAGAGATTTGAGTTGCATGAAAAGAAAAATTAAAACTCAGATAAAGTACCTCCCTTTCATGAACGGACAACACAATGGAGGATAAATTAGTGATATGTCTATCAGGATTGTATGGGAAAGAAGTGAGACGAATATTATCATTACAGCAAGATTTTTCCGGCTTTTACAGATCCGTTCTTTCGTCTTCAAAATGCAAGTACCACAAAAATTGATGACTTTGATATGGCAAACTATAGCTATTTCTGCCAATACAGGCAAAGCAGGATAGACAAACATCTTCCTCAATTGCAAAACATTTGGTTGTGACCGGTCATAAGGTTGATATCAAGTCAGCCTTTGTAGTGTTGTACAAAAGCCTTGAAGAGCGCACACTAAGGTTTATTGAAGCCATGGCTATACGGAGACTGAAACCCTCTTCATGTGTTCAAAGACAATTTATTCTTACCGTTAACCTACCCTGATAATAGTGATTTATTATGCAGCGTGGTTTTCACATTATGTACTTTATTATTCTTTATTTCCATTTACCTTATAATTTTTCTAGTTGACCTTTAATTTTTCGCATAAAAATGTCTTAATAATTATATATGTGATCACATTGTTTGAAATATATTGCGCAAATATATTACATGATTCTGATAACCTTCGTCTTCTCACTGCATTACTGAAATAAACAGGATACCTTATAAAAATTAGGATATTATCTTAAATAATTCCATAAACTACCCATGAATAAATCTTGTCAGAAATAAGGGGAAACGTATTACGTACAAATGTAATGGATGAGTTAGAAAGAGCAATAATGTGAAATTTATAATTCGACCGTTAAATCTTATTAAATTCACTACTTTCCTTTTGCGCAGAATTTTCTAACTGCTCATCTGAGTAATCGCTGTTTTCACCAGATTTAGATTTTGACTTTGATTTCAGTTTTCTTTTATTTAATCGTTTTTCTTTCTTCATTTGACGCTTAGCACGCTTCTTAGCAGTTTTTTCAGCAGCTAGATCATTTAATGCTTTTTGCTTCATTTGGAACTCTCTATCTAAACGTTCCTAAAGAAATTAATAGTGATACACAATAAAATGTCTTACCTCTTCCGCAGTTTTTTCAATCATTTCTAAACGAGTATATTCTCTTCGTCTAATTCCTCTGTAAATGTGAAAGTCCCCACTGCCCACTCCAGCGGCAGAGCCTAAAATTTGTTTGGACTGAAAAGTGACATTACCCCATACATTGCGAACGAATTCAGGTGGTGGTTTAGGCAGCTGAGGTTGAGCTAATTCAGGAGCTACGAGCGCTTCTTCCTTTGTATGAAATGAACGTAAATAAGTATTTGGCAAACTTACCGGATGTGCGAAATATTTCTCAATGTCACGCCGCACGAAGTCATACGTGCTCATTTTACGATACTCATTACGCTTAATTTCTTCACCAGTTTCTAGATTCACATCTTTTTGAGCGTTATTTAGATTCATAGGTATGAAACAAATTTCAACGTTTGTCTAGGTATCCAAAAGCATAAAATGTACCGAATAAATTATAAACATTTACAGTATTTACGTGTCTAAAAACGAAACGAAAACTGGTAATGCGTGGAACCTTTGCTATCGCTTACACATGTCTCCGTCATTTACATGGGCAGTAGTTTTTCGGACAAAACTTCAACCATTAAAACTATCTTTTGAAATATAGTAACTATATTTTTCTATAATAATGCGTCGAATATCGTCATCTATGCCAGGTATATTTACTAATTGGTTGTGATAAACAATTAACTCATTCGAACTATTGATAGCTTTTATTACACTTGAAGGAAATACAGGTAGTTTAAAAGATCAACTTTACACTAAAATCGTTACTTATACGAACTTGAACTGTGTTCTTACTTTTATATCCTTGAAACGAACGAATCAAGTGGTATTTTTCGTGGCCGTTTTTCTTTTTGACTTCGAAACAGTTTAGTGTTAGTGAAGCGTTTCCTTTGTAATTATGATTAGTGAAGGACGATATGAGAAAACTCAAGAACAAAAACAAACGCAATAGTGAAGATTTCAGCTAACAAAATGATCCACAACTTATCCCGTTTTACAAAGATGTATTACAGACTTGACCTTTATTCGTAGTTTTCTTAAGCAAGTTTCGTGAAGATTCTGATAACAGTGGAAAAACGAGCTGTAAGTTCTAGTATTTCATTTGCAAAATACCTCCAGTAATAACAAGTAAATAGCTGTAGGTTCCAGGTTCAATTAACTGGCACGATTTAACGCAACTGCACAATAATAATGTCAGCGTAGATTAAACGACCTAACTGTATCTTTACAAACTAATAAATGTTGGGGTTGGGTGAAAGCTTTTAAAACGAGCCATTTGATATGATGTAATAAGTGAGATAATTCCGAAATACATTGAACTATCTAGCCAGTTTACCTGAACATACATATATCGGAGAAAATGTGTAAGGTAATATATGATACAGACCAATAGTCTGTGTAGATAATACCTCGATGGATTAGTAATCCATTAGGGACAATAATCTGTGGTTGATAGATCTCCGTAATCATCAAAAGGTGAACTAAAGGTAACCGAAACGCATAAATCCGACCACAGGTAGATAGTTATACGTTGAGGCAATACACAATGTAAGTTTTATAAGTGTCACTATTAATCCACATCATTCAACGAAAAATCCTTCAGGTGGATTTAATAGTTTGTAATCATAACCAGACAAACGAATCACAGGTTTTACCTCTTGTTAATTCGATCCCGAAATCGTATGATTACCTTGGTATAGGTATGAACAAAACTGTTGCTTATAATATCACCGACGTAAGCTTTAACATGATATGAATGATATAGAGTATCGTTATTCCAAAAACTCCAGGTTCATGTGAAAAAAGTCGTAAGTAACCTCAAAAGTGATCGCTTTATGATTTAACAACATCGAAACAATCATACAATGAATGTGATAGGTCATAAGGCTGTATACGAATTAACGTACATTGTCTAAAGAAAAACTAACAAGTTCTATGAACACTCGATGAAGAGCTCTATCGAAAACCTGGACACGCTTCAATAAAGGAAGAAGACAACAATTAACAACAGCCGAACAAGAGCAGAGAAAGTCAAGGCACAGACTGAATACACAGAAGCAAACAAACAAGTGAAGAGGAGCATTAGAGCTGACAAGCAGAACTATGTGGAAGACCTAGTAACGAAACAGGAAAAAGCTGCAAAGAAGGAAGTATGAAACAACGGAGAAGCTAGTAGGGAAATACAGTAAGCCAGCGACATCGATCAACGACAAAGAAGGCAAGCCAATCACTGAAATTCAAGAAAAGAGGAACAGATGGATTGAACACTGAGGAACCCTTGAATGAGCCAGCCCCTTTGAATCCACCGAATATTGAAGTAGTACTTACAGACCTTCCTATAGATGTCACTCCACGAACGACCGAAGAAATCAGGGTGTCTATCAGACAAATCAAGATTAAAAAAGCTGTAGGACCTGAGAATATACCAGCTGAAGATCTTAAGTTTAAGTCAGACATAGGAGTAACTGCAAGCATGCTTTACACTATATTCAGGAGGATTTGGGAAGAGGAAAAACTGTCCACAGACTGGAAAGAAGGACACCTCATCAGGATACCAAAAAAGGAGATCTGAGCAAATGTGAGAACTGCAGAGACATCACACTGCTGTCAGTACCAGGGAAATTTTTCAACAGTGTTGCCGAACCGGATGAAAAATTCAGTAGACTCCCAGCTTCGAGATCAATAGGCTGGATTCCGTAAGAATCGGTCGTGCATTGATTAAACGATGACACTTCGGATCACTGTTGAACAATCAAATGAATGGAACTTGTCACTATACCCCAGCTTCCTTGACAATGAAAAAGCATTCGAAAGTCCGGATAGGAAGACTTTATGGAAACTTCTTCGACACTATGGTGTACCGGAGATCGTCAACACTGTACGGAATTCATACGACGTTTTACACTGCGAATTTGTGCATGCGGGACAGCTGATCGATGCATTCCAAGTAAAGATCAATGTCACACAAGGCTGTTTACTTTTGCTCTTCCTCCTGGTGGTCGACCGGATTGTGAAGACCTCCACATCTCAAGGGAAGCACGGAATACAATGGACAGCTTGGATGCAACTAGACGATTTGGACTTCGCAGATGACTTAGCCCTTCTATCCGATACATAACAACAAATGCAGGTCAAGACAATCAGTGTGGAGGAAGCCTCCACATCAGTAGGCCTCAACATACACAAGGATAAAACCAAGGTCCTCAAATACAACACTGTAAACAAGCCAATCTCACTTGATGGAGAAGCTCTGGGAGATGTAGAATCTTTCACGTACCTGATCAGCGTCATCGATGAACAAGGATGATCTGATGCAGACAGAAAGGTGATGATTGGCAAAGCAATGGACGCATTCATACAATTGAAGAGCATTTAACAACTGCCAACCAAAATCAAAGTGAGAATCTTCAATACGAAAGGTCTACTGTACGGAGCTGAGACGTGCAAAGTACTACAGCCATCATCAAAAAGGCACAAGTATTTATAAGCAGTTATCTACACAAGATACTCAATGTTTGTTGACCGGAAACCCTCAGCGACAGCCTACTATAAAAGAGAACAAATTAGGTTTTGGCTGAGGAGGAAATAAAGAAAGGACACTGGAAGTGGATAGGACATACATTACAAAAATCACCAAACTGCATCGCTATGCAAGCGCTTACCTGGAACCCTGGAAGGAAATGGGAAGGAGGAAGGCCGAACACACTACGTCGAAAATTGGAAGCAGACACCAAGAGGATGAATAGCAACTGGAAAGGATTGCACAGGACAGAGTTGGATGGAAAATGCTGGTAGGCGGCCTATACTCTTTAACGAGGGGTAACAGGAGTAAGTAGGTACTCAAATGTTATTACTTCGAAATAATTACTAACTTTTAAATATCGTTCAACGTACCGCCAAGCAGTTTGCAGTCATTAATGCGCCAAGTAAGAAGCAGGTACTAATTGCAGCAAATGACTTGTTGGCGAAGAACTTGCACGTACCCTACCTGGTGTATGTGGACCAGAAAAAGTGCTCAACCAGATGACGACTAGTCAGTCATCAGGAGTAAGGTTATCTACTACTGTAGTGAGCTAAACACACTCCTTCCCTAAAAGCAATTTACAGACTGCGAAGGATTTATTGGTTTCGTTCGGCGAATTACCCGGCTGTCATGCCAATAATGTGACAAAAACACTGCCACTAAATACATGGAAGTCCAAAAAGTAAGCACAGTAATCCTATTGGTCTTTCAAAAAGAGGCATTGAAACGGAAACCAGAGTATTTATATGATTTAGTCGGCATGAATGTGGCTGAAATGAAGGCTACAATTATGCGTGCTCATTATATGAAGTTCAGGCTGCTCGACACTAGTGTGACCGATTGCACAGTGGGCACGTCCTAATTATAGCTGTTTATAAATAGATTTTCTACACAAGTAGACGCTGCCATCAATACCTACATCAACGCCTGTTGACATCGGGTCTGTAATTGAGTAACATTTACAATTTAAGTTGTTTTAGAATCGCAAAACTTCATACTGTATTGTATCAATGTCGTCAGCAATATCAAACTCCGGTGCCAATGTTATGCAGTTCATGTCTCAGTCTAAGTTTGATGTGCATGACTATCTATGGGAACTTGACATTAGATTATCAAGTTCTTATTTCTTTTTGACATCTGAAGGGGAACTGTGAACGTTGGATGCGTGTCTAGCAAGAAGACACGAGGGACAAGCTCGTTGGATTATAACTTTACATGTCAGATGGTCATTGTGCCACAATCAATGAATGACAATCCCAAAACTTCCATGCGCTATATCTTATCGTATGCAGTGAAACCTGAAACGGCCAGGCATATTACTCTTGGCAATACAACAAGAAAAGAACTCCAGAAGCGCATACTTTTTATTAGTATATCAATTAGTTATGTTATAGTCATTAGGCGCACTAACATTGCGTATTTTATTGCCAACTTCCACAAGAAAAGACCTTGTGGAACTGTATAACATCGCAAGCTTATTTTCATGAAGTGAGATGAGCTCTAAAAGCGCTGTCGGAGAGAAAATGTAAGTAATAATTTGAAATGGAAACTTTCGGTTGCTGTCCTACAGATTCAGTGTCCTGCATCGAAAAACATTACTGGAAGTCTCACTTTATGTTGCCGGTTGGTTTTTATTAAAATTCGGGATTCACAAAACAGTTACTATGATTCTGAATGGTAACAATGATTTACCAATGAAGTGGTATTTTATAAGTTCTTTGTATCGTAACCGTAGTTTCCTAACAAACCATTCACCTATATGTCTGATTTCTAACGTACATATGCTATGTTAAGACGATATAAACGTATATAGGGAGAGAATGCATGATTCAATATTGAGTCGATAGTTATAGTACACTCC